GGTATGTGTAACAGTCCCGCTAGTTTCCAAAGGATGATTGATAAATTTCGTGCTGGTCTTCAAACTCTGAATATCCTAGCTTATTTAGATGATCTGATAATATTATCCCCATCCTTCTCTGATCACATAGACGATTTGAAACAAGTATTCAACCGGATGCGCCTATTTAAATTATGTCTAAATAGAGCAAAATGTTCATTCGCCTGTGAGGAAGTCCAATATCTCGGACACATGGGTATCCGGCCAAGTGAAAATAAAGTATCTGCCATATTAAACATGACACCACCCCTAAATGTTACTCAACTGCTAAAATTCCTGCAAACATGCTCATGGTTCCGTAGATTCATCGAAAATTTCTCCCATGTTGCTAAACCTTTGTCGAATTTAACCAAGAAAAATGTGAAATGGACCTGGGGAGCAGAACAACAAGAGGCCTTCGAATGTCTGAAACAATTATTGTGTTCCGCCCCAATCCTACGACAAGCTGACTGCAATTTACCTTATATCCTTCGTACAGATGCTAGCAATTATGCTTTGGGGGCATGTCTTCTGCAGGGGGAGAAAGAGAACGAACGACCTGTAGAGTATGCTTCGAGACTCCTGACTCCTGCTGAACAAAACTATAGCACTACAGAACGAGAAGCTCTTGCTGTGGTTTGGGCAGTGAAGAAATTTCGAGGATACTTAGAAGGCGCTACTACAATAGTGCAAAGTGATCACCAAGCCTTAAAATGGCTAATGACCTTAAAGTCCCCTACTGGACGGTTAGCTCGATGGGCTTTAGAGCTCATGCCATATGACCTAAAAATAGAATATATCACAGGAAGAAAAAATGTAATCGCAGATACTCTATCAAGGCCTCCCATGACAGAAGTTCCCATCATAGCTGAAGTTCATCTAGTAAGAGTAGATTTTCCAACTCTTAGTGTTGCTGATGTTCGAGAAGAGCAGCTTAATGATCCAGATGTTGCCAAGATTATTAGATGTTTAGAAGATCCCTCTTCTGACACAAGCGTAGATTTCAAGAGGTGGGCAGAAAGAGGATATATCATGAACAATGGGATATTATACCGTTATACTCCTGAAGTAGATGAAGAAGAGCCCCAATTGGTAGTGGCAAGTACACGTATTCCTCACATACTTCATGAGTACCATGATTCCGCTACTGCTGGTCATTATGGAGTGGAGAAGACATATCAAAGAATAATAAAACGCTACTATTGGCCTGGAATGAAGAAAATTATCTCTGACCATGTAAGTAAATGTCTTGAGTGCCAACGCTATAAAGTCTCTAACCTCAAACCCGCTGGTCTCCTACAAACCCCTGTTCAGTCCCAGAGGTTTGAAGTGCTATCTATTGATTTATTTGGGCCTTTGCCCCTCTCTCCTCAAGGTTATACATGGATTCTGGTAGTGGAAGACACTGCTAGTCGTTGGGTAGAATTATTCCCGCTAGAATCTGCTACTGCCGCTGCCTGCGCCAAGTGTTTCATAGACAACATAATCTTACGATACGGAATCCCTCGTCGAGTCATCAGTGACAACGGTACTCAGTTCGTGAGTGCGGTAATGCAGCAAGTGGCGCATTGTTTCGGATACCAACAAAACCTTATACCTGTATACCACCCGGAAGCTAATCCCGTCGAACGAAAGAATAGAGACATTAAAACTCAGTTAGCTATTCTAACAAATAATGACCATTCGTCTTGGTCTGAAAAGTTACCCGCTATACGGTTCGCGATGAACACTGTGAAGTGCGACTCAACCGGTTTCACGCCTGCGTACCTCACGTTCGGTCGCGAGTTACGAACTCCTGATGATGCAAATCGTGATTTTCGAAGCATCATAGCCAAGGACAACTTCGTGCCACAAATCACGCCCTATCTACTAACTTTGAGTAAAGCTCTTAGTGAAGCCCGCGAGACACATGAACAATCTCAAGATAGACGTAAGAAGTATAAAGACTGCCACCGCCGCTCTGTTTCGTTCGAAGTAGGTGATATTGTGCTAGTCGATTCGCATACACTAAGTGACGCGTCTAAGTCCATAACTTCGAAGTTCGCGCCGCGTCGTGACGGACCCTACAAGGTGACCAAAATGCTGTCCCCTACAACCTATGAAGTTTCACACATCGACACTCCAGATGTTCCTGCTGGGAAATATCATGTCTCAGCCTTGACGCCTTTCCATGCCGATCCAGAAGATCCGTGCCCTGCTCCAGTTCAACCTCTCCGTAGAAGAGGTCGTCCAGTGAAATCCTCAGAAGCCGACCCTCCTGCTCCACTGGTCTCCTGCCAAGAGTCTTTGACCCTTGGGTTAGACGATAGCGAAATGAGCCCCCATGTTGGAGATGACCTTGCTCATATTGAAGCTGAACCTGCACCTGACCATATTGCCAGACGTAGACAACCCCGACCAAAACGTTGTCATTGCTGTCCTGTAGAGCTCTATTCCTGCTTAGACTCTGTTGCCCCACCCGCGAGTCGCCAGGGTGGTGCAAAGGGGGAGGATGTAACAGCCACACCGCTCCGTGGCTGAATACCACCAAGTAACCATGACAGTGTCCACCGAGAGTGAACGGTGACAAGAGACAGATAGATATGTTTTGTTGTTGTAAGATGTAGGTTAAAATTATAACACATGGTTTTCTTTTAATAAAATCCTATAAATCAATATTCACAGTCATTACCTAACTATTTTTACTAATACCCACATCACAAGTTGTTATTTATACTGTGATAGGGAGTTCGGCTTCTAGGATATTTAATAGAACCAAATAGAACTCTTGGATGGTTCAAAAGAAAACTTAGAAATGAATGATTCTTGTATGATGTATGTATAAAAATAAAAATGTAAAGAAAACAAACAGAACAGAACAGAAAACAATCACAAAACGTGATTTTACATGCCAAAGATCACAGTATACAGCCCTCTAGTAAGGTAAGTTCCATAGAAAAATTTGTGAGTTTCTAGCGCCAATTGCGGACGGGCCGAAATTAATTTTATTTAGTGACAAATTTAAAAGGTATTTTCCAAGGTTATTAAAAATAGACAGGTTGTCTGGTAACTTTACACCAATCAGCGTCGAGTATCTAACGGCGGGAATGACGTCACTATGAATGCTATATTCAAATTCATTCACTTTACTCCTTGAAATGAACTCGAAAAGCATAAAATACGTTTGGACTTTTAATAACTATTTATTTCATTCAATCTTTAAAAAATGTGGGCCTACCTGCAGAGTTACAGAAATCATAAAATATTGCAGCTAAACATTATGTATATAGTAGAATAGCATTACTATATTACAATGGAAGTAGATTCTTTCTGGTGTGTACATGTGACTAAAACATGTTAATATATACTATATTAATAATGGGTTGAATACAATTTACTTTTTTTTAAATTATTTTGAATTGAGGGTAATGCATGTAGTGGATTATTATAAATTCCTCCAAATAAGTAAACCATGCTGAAAAAGAGATTCAACTAAAGATTTATATATCAGAATTAGTAGTTTTTCCCTTAACTTCAATATATCTAAGGAACATTTGATTACATTACTGGATTATATAATAGAATATAAAAAATATTAAAACATGATTCCATTAAATAGATAGGTACCTTTTAAGTAGTACATAATTAACAGTAAATTATAAAAATCAAAATCAGTGAATTAACACATTATTACGGAACATTTAAATAACTATACCTACTTACCATCTTTTTTCAGCTTTTTAGGTTTTATGTTTAATAGTTTAGCTTTTAAAGCATCCTCATAATCTTTCATGCGAAAGTGTATACTACAAACTCTTTTATTAAAACAGGACCACTTATCCTTCCTATGACACTTGCGCATCCATTGCTTTTAAATTTTTACATTTTTTGGAAGTGTAAAAAACATTAAATTCCTTCCATCCTTTTTGGAATTTTTTGAATTATTTTTGCAGATTGCTACACTACAAATATTTCCACCAGTCATCTGAATTAATAAAAAAATTGAATTAAGTTATGTTTTTCCTGCATTAATCCCGATGTTACCTGTAATATATAATACAGCAGAAATAAAATCCAGTAAGACACAACCACGTTAAATGTATCTTAACACTTGTATAAGAGTTTTGGGTCCAAGTTATCATAACATCACAATATAAGACATATTATATCTCAAGATATTAACATAAACTAAAGCACTAACCATATTTAACAACAAAATATATTCTCCAAACCACTTCTCCTATTTTGTCTTCAAACAATTCGTAAAATTGACCCCTGGGTGACGTCACACGTCATATTTCATTCTGTCAATGTTAGAGTTACCATGCAACCTCCCTTTTACTAACCTTGGTCATACCCCACTTAACGTGACTAGCAGCGCCGTCACCAATACAAACGGCTGGGCCCATATAATTGATTGTCCCTACCTGTCCTATTACACTTACACTACTATTTCTTGTATATACTGTGGCATAACTGAACTGTCACTGTCATAGTGTCACTACAGTGTTGCTAGAGTTATGTTATTTCCTTAAACTAACAGTAAATTCAAACTTAGCTTAGTGAAATCTTGGCTACTTTATAAACTTTACAGTAAACTACAATAGTAAGTTTATAATTGTCACGCTATGGTAATTATATCTTGCCGTGGAAGAAGACACAAATTATGTGGTTTTGTCAATTTTAGAATTGTTTACATTTACATGTACTCATTTAATGAAATTGTAAAATCCGCAACACCGTAACTGTCTTCTGTGTCGTTGTTCGGAATTATTCGAATTCCACTCGTTTTTAATTTGTTTATTTTAAGAAATTTCGGAAAAACCCACTTGCTTTTTTAGCCTACTTTAATTCGAGTGGTTTCTCCAGCTTACGACATCACCAAAACTGAGAATTACCATTACCACCGCAGGGAAATTATTCCAGCGAAAGCTATCAGTGGGTTATTTTAGTTAGTAGTTACATTATTTTTACATGTATTACAATAACTTTCATCTAAAAAAATGTATATACACGAATTACTAGATGAGCCCAAAAGAAAATTATGCAAAATTCTTGACAAAGATGATAAATGGCTAGTGCTAGGAGGTGTTCACATGAAGTATGATGTTACAGATTTGGAAGAAATAAAAAGGTCAGTAAAAGCGGGTGCATCTATTACTTCAGAGTTGCTAACTGTATGGGGCCATCAAAACCACACAGTATTAGAGTTGTTTGTCTTACTCGGTCACATGAAACAGTATCAAGCAATGATGGTATTAAAAGAATTTGTTGATAAAATGTATCATATACTCATTAAAGACAGTGTGGATGAATTAAATCCTGTCGTTCGTCAAATGCTTCTGGAGAAAAAGAAAATTAAAACATTGATTATAGAATACATCCCAATAACTATAATGGCGATTCTGAGAAGATACTGAATACTAAACTAGTTCCACGGCTTCCAACAATAGTAAGTGATGAAAATAATGAAAGCAGTAATTTGCATCTGCCTAAATCACCAGTTAATTTGATAAGATCCAAAATGTATACAACCTCCGATATATCAGTTGTAGCAGAGTCACTTGGGGGACTGCCATCGCTTCCCTATGAAGAATTGCAGGCATCTACTAACAATTGGTGTGAAAGCACAGTTCTTGGAAAGGGTGGTTTTGGGAAAGTATATAAAGGTAAGTGCAATTTAGGTATTTGCAAGTATCTCAGTTCTATTTGTTTGTTAATTTTTCCAATTTCTATTATGGTGTTTATACCATATGGTGTTTTTGTATTCAGTTTTTGATTTTTTCTTCAAATAATTTCTTTCTCTATTGCTTTCCTATTTTCGAAGCTTTTTTTAGTATAATTCTTGATTTTAATATAGCATAGGTAGGTTTTTTTTTTAATTTTCTGGCTGTTCCTTTCTGCCACATGAATTATTCTCTCACTATACTGTTATCAATATAAATTTTAGGAATTGTTATTTAGACTCTAATTTTCGAAACCAATCAGTTGAATGTGTATATTGTAAATTTAATTTTTATATGATTATTGTGAATGTTATTGTGAATCATCATCTTTATTATAAAGAGTATCTAACAAAGATGGGAATATTTATTCTTTATGTAATATAGAATTATGCATTTGAACACACTACCTTTTAAAAAGTAGGTTAGCACTCTCCCTTAGTAGCACTCTAAGCTACTAAGATGGTTTGCACAATCTTTGGGTTTTTACAACTAGAGTAACAGTATATTAATTTATTAACATGAATTTATATCTGGTCGATTTTGTAGATAATACTAGTTTTTTTTTCATGTTGGCTATATTTTTGAATATTTTAGGAACTTGGAAGTGTACACAAGTTGCAATTAAACGCCTCGACCAGAAAGATAAAAAGGAATATGGAACAGAACAAATAAAACAGTCAATAACTGAGCTGCATTGTCTAAATGCTTACAGGCATGATAATATTCTGCCATTGTATGGATACAGTATTGGAGGTCCACATCCTTGTTTGATTTACCAGTATATGGCAGGAGGATCTCTTGATAATAGACTTCGAACTAGAGATCCTGAGAAAGTGTTAAAGTGGCCATCAAGACTGAATATTGCTGTTGGAGTCGCAAGGGGTAAATACTAAATACAATATTCAATTAATAGACTAAAAACATTTTAAATTAATAAATCACATGCATGTAGGTGGAGCTAGCGTCAGGGTTTGGTATTAAAATGTAACCTTATTTTATTCTGCCGTTTATTTACATTGTTTGGTACTTGTTTCCTAGCTATTTTTCAATTTTGTGAGTGATTTAAGTTTCAATAAGTTATTTAGGACATTTTAATTGTTTGGGCACTTTTACTGAAACTTTACAGTATGCCTAACAATTGTTGTATGCCACAATGCAATTCAGTTTCCAATAAAACTGCCAATGTTAAGTTTTATAAATTCCTCTTGAATAAAGTTTTACAAAAATGATGGTTGATCGCTATCAGGTCTGAATAAAGTATCAGCAAGCACACAAAAATCTGTTTCAGATGGAAGTTACACCTTTACAAGTTTGGGTTAAAGTTAAAAAAATACTTATCCAAATTTCTTGTATTGTCATTGTCTTGTTTTTGTAGGACAAAGTAGGATCCTTAAAAATATGCGGTAACTTCTTAAATGTACCAAAAAGATAGTTGGAGACTTTGTTTAGCAATATAGCCACCACACAAGCAAAAAGAGCAAATAAAAACAGAATTATGTAACAATAAAACACTGAAAACTTTGTTTTCAAACTTCCACAAAATTTATTTTAAATATTATCACTACAGCTGTTTCGGTTGATTGCCTTTCTCAAGTTATCTATTTTGGCTTGGGTTTACAAATTTATAGTCTCTAATGAAATAGGTTGAGGAGGGGAGAACTGTTTGTCTCAAGTTGATCATTCAGAATTATATCTGTGTTTTTTAATTTGTTGATTTCCATAGATTCTAACAAAGATAGCTTAAGGCCTTTATTTTGAATGTGGAGAATTTTAAATTTGTCATTAAAAGAATGATTATGATCTAGAAGGTGAAGTGCATAAATATGTCGAATCTGTTATTCTATTCTTGAAAGCCCTTTTATGTTCTGCTATTCGTTTATCAAAGTTTCTACCAGTTTGACTGATGTAAGTTTTTGGGCAGTCGCCACATTGAAGTTTGTACACACCACTATTTAAGTGTTTTTTTATTTTGGCTCTTGTTATTTTTAATATATTTGCCTAGGTTGTTATTTGTTCGGAAAGCTGGTGTTATTCCTTTCTTTTTTATGTGTTTGGCAATTTTTGTTGTTATTTTGCCTGTATATGTAATTGAGCAGAAGGTACTGGGTTTTTTTCTCTGGTGGTGGAAATACTAATTTCAGGGCTTTCTTGTGTAGTTTTTGATTTAACATTTTATTAATTGTTTGTTCGTTGTATCCATTGTTTACTGCTGTTTGCTTAATTATATTTAATTCTATCTCAAAGTTGTATTTTGACATCGGAATTTCTGTTAATCTATGTAACATACTATGATAAGCTGCCAGTTTCATATGCTTTCTCTAAATCTACAAACAATAGGTGGTTAGATAGATTTCTTGCCTTCCGTTTTTCGATTATCTGCTACAGAACGAATATACCATCAGTACACAATCTTCCTGCTCAAAATGCATTTTGTTCTTCTATGTCTTTGTATTCTGATTCTATTCTTTCTTTATAAAGATGTACATAAATATACATATTATACAAATTCAGTTCTCAATCAAAAATCAATAATAGACTGTAATTGTTATACAAGAGTCAATGATCAAGGTTATAGTACTTCCATTCTATTTCCATATCTACTTTCAATCAATCAGAAAATAATCTAATTAACAGTCTGTCTCCTTCAGGCTCTCATATCTTTAATATTTGCATGACTCCCTATTTTTTACAATTATGCATTATATTATCGATTTTAATTGTTTCATATTTTATATCCATGTGCATGTATTTATTTATTTGTGAGTTTAAAATCCATTGGTGATCTTTAGGTTGTGGAATTCAGAAGTCCTTGGTACAGCCACTTCAACAAATTATATCACACAGATAAAAAAAAATTAGTGTCAAAAACTGATTACCAAATAATAGACCTAACAATTTAAAAGACTGATATATTTGTAGACACTTAAGAAATCTTAATGGGTGTAAAGAACATATATTATTTACACATTTAAAAAAATCTATCACAAGATAAATAATTTATGCAGTTTTCTTGTAAGAATTTTTACTATGTGTATTAGTACTGAGTACACTAGTTGAAACAAAAAACTTTCTTTTTCTTTGCCCATTTAACGGTTTTCAATGCTGCGACATAGCACCTTCAATGACCTTGAATATATCTTAAGTGTAATTCAAGAGATAACCAAATGTTTTACTTAAGTATTCACAAACTCCTATCATGTACAAATAATTAAGTTAAATTAGACGACTTTTTGTGGAAAATCAGTGGTGGTTTAAGATAGTACCTATAGTTTGAGGACACAAACATTTTTTTCATGCAAATTTGAAATTTTGATACAATCAAAATGTTTTATTTAGATCACAGTTAAGTTTTGTATATAAACAAAGAGATTATGATGTTATTTACAAGTAGTAAATAACAACACTGTAAAATGGGGTGCTAAAAACTAAAAAAATTAAAAAGCATAAAACTAAAAACACTAACACATGTTGCAAACATAAAACTTAAACATTTCAACTGGTGTTCCTATTCATACATTTGTAGGGTTAATAGGAACAGGTAAAAAGTGTATAAGGTGTTGATTTATTGGAAAAAATTAATGTTGAAATGAAAAATACACTTTTAAGGTCGGCTAATATCCACTAAGATCATTGTTAAAACTAATCATGTTTTTAAACCGAGACGATGTATTCACGTTTATACATACAGAGAACTGTCTTATAATATCATCGGGTTTTAGAAAATGCTTCCTCTTCAGTTTCGGAAAATTTCCAAGCCTGGGAACCTTCTTAAAAAATATTCATACGTAGCCGTTATCTTGAAGATAGAGAACTTTAGTAACGAAGAGCCTGAAATATTGCTTGGTCTTGCCATACACTTTAACCACTAAGAATTCTCCAGGGTTAACGCAAGTGTTCGTTTCTTCATCAGATGACAACACTAGCTTCCTGTCATTGTCTTGGAGAGAGTTTTCTGAAGCACTAGATTCTCGTTTTAGCTTTATATATATATATATTAAAAAATCTATATCTATAAAGGTGTTAATCGGCACTGCCGACCCTGACGGGCCGCCACTGCTATGCGTACATAATATTAAATTGTTCATTTTATTTAATTTGCAAATACCTAATTTTAAGGAATCCAATTTTAATGCGTATTTTTCAACAGGTCTTCAATTTCTACATACGAATAGAATAAATGGCAAACCATTGGTTCATGGAGATATAAAATCGGCGAATATTTTATTAGACCCTTGCAACCAACCACGCATCGGAGATTTTGGCCTAGCTCGTGAGGGTCCTCAGAGTCAATACACGTACATAAAGGTGAGCCGAATCCATGGTACTCGCCCCTATCTACCAGAAGAATTTCTAAGAGCAAAAAAGTTTTCCACCAAAGTCGACACCTACAGCTTTGGAGTACTGCTATTCGAAATCGCAACCTCATTATCGCCTCATTCTGAACATCGAGAGGAAAAGTTCTTGAGGGATCATATTGTGAATTATCCAGGTGACATTTTAGAGCTTAAAGATAAACGCGTAGTGGATTATGACGATCGCTTTAAAGAGATACTAGAGATAGGTAAGATGTGTGTAAAAAGGTGGGCAAAAGAAAGACCGAAATGGTTGCTGTACTGATAATGTTGGAGAAAGTATCTCTAGTGGAATAAGACTTTTATTTTAAACTTTTAAGGCGCATTTAAACATGCTTATTAAAATAACCTTGGTAGTTGTATGCCATATTGCTACACATATGAATGTGTATTTACGTATATTATTTCGTAGTATCTTGTTAATTGACATGCTAATTTAGCAAATATTCTGGAATTTGTGTTTCAATATTCAATACGTACAGTTACTATATTTATAATGTAAACAATTGTGATCATTTTATTTATGTATCAACATCTAATTTAAAATACTGGGGTACAGCAAAAAAAAAAAAAAAAAAAGAAAATGATTAAAAGTGGATTAATTGAAGTTGTTCTTTAGGAACTTCTTGTACTGTTTTTAAAAAACTAAGGACTGAATAAAGGATCTTGTTAGGAAACAACAGTTAATAAAATATACAGTATATTCAACCAACTTACAGCTTTAGACAATTAATGGAATTCGCAGAAGACCTTTCGTTATAGTATAAGGCACGGTAAACTGCACTGGAGTTATCCATAATCTATCTAATTAATTTGCTTAGAATATTTTTGCCTGTATTATCAGTTAGAGTTAATTTGTATAAAATGAGGAGCAAAAATTCAAATGGAATTTTAAATATTATTGTCAAAAAATTTGATTTATACCTTATGTTTGTCAATTCTCAGTTTAAAATTTCTAATGTTTTACCTATATAAAATTTGAAAACAAAATTTACTACTACTTACAAAATTTATTAAGTAATAATGACTGAGAGGTTGTAAAAAAATACAACATTTTACAGAACATGAATAACAACATGAAAGATGGACAAGCAACAATTTGCAATCGATTGCAATTGAATTTTGTAACTGGTGGCACTATATCGTATATATGTCCAATTTAAGAAGAATTGAACATATTAAACTGACGTACATGTAGATTTCACGAAATCACGATAACAACAATCAACTGATTAGCAAAAAGAAGAGAAACATATCAAAATACAATGTTCTCTACAACAATTTAGGTTTTATTAATAATCATTTAATACCTGTGAAACTGGACATCCTTCTTGTATAGTGTTATCAGTTGCAGCTTTTAAAAAATAAACCTATTCTTAAAAAACTAAAATCCTGCTTTTTGTTAACTTTTTAGGAGCATTTAATTTTAAATAAACTAATTATGTTTTATTAGGAGTAGCTGTAACATTGTCTTCCAAAATAACTATTTTTATAGTTCATATATGCTAAAAGCAAGTTTGTAATTCAATTATAAATATATATACTGTGATATATTTTCAATAAAGTTTTTATTTATTGTATTATTTGAGTTTTTTTTATTAACCCTTCTAGAAATTATACCTTATAATCAGACTTAGGTAAATGTGTATAGTATCTTAAAAAATACTTCGTGTAAACTTAGCCTTAAGAAATATGACAGAAGTAGAAGGAATGGGTAAAGTTGATTAAGTTCCTTAAATTTTGCAGTGTCTCTTTTGTTTTGTCTCAGAAGATCTTTTCTTTGTTTCAACATGTTTTGTGATTCCACACTTATTGTGGATTTTCGTTTTCTGTTAGCGGTTGCCACCTCTGAGCTTGCATTTAATAGTTCTTGTGTTATGACTTCATTTACTTCATTTAAGCTAAGTTTATCTAGATTTATTACTTTCGGGGGTTTCAACTTGCTTTTATATTGTTCTGTATTAGATGTTGGTTTATCTGTGTCTATATTCCAAGTTTTTCTAAATTTATTTCTATTTTTATTATGTTTTATCTCTAATTTGGCTCTAACCATTCGGTGATCGCTACTTATTGACGCCGTAGTTATTACTGCTACGTCCTGTATGATATATGTTTTGTTACACAGTATGTAATCTATTTCGTTTCAAGTTTTTCCGTCTGGGGATGGCCACGTCCACTTTCTTTGAGGTTTTTTCTTATATAATGTGTTCATTGCATAGTATTTGTGGGCTTGTAGGAAGTTAACCAAGGTTTCTTGTCTCATTTCTAACTCCAGAGCCGAATTGTTCTATATAGTTTTCGGTTATTTCAAGTCGTTGTCCGATCTTAGTGGTGAAGTCTCCTATTATCATCGTATACGTGTTGTGATAATTCTTGGTAGTTTCTGCGATTTTCTCATAAAATTCGTCTAGCTCTTCATCGGGATGTGCTGCGGTTGGAGCGTATACTTGAATACTTGAATTTTTTCAGATATTCCTACGAATTGCTCTACTTTATGTAAATATTTCTTGAAAATTAGAAATCTTACGCCATCTAGGCTTTGTTCTTTTCTACCTTTGTAATATACGGCGTTTTTAGTATTATGGACTCTTTCTCTTTTCTTTTTACCTCTGCTAGACCAATTATGTCCCATTTTACGTAGACGTTTTTATCTTTGCTTAAGGACCTTATATTTAGAGTTGCGATGTTCAGTCGTGTGGTTTTAGCCATTACTGTATGGTCTACAGACCTGGGGACCTGGATATCGCCATATTCCTGTTAGGAGGTTTTTAAGCCTTAAACACCACGGTGGCTAGTGGGTTGGTGAGTGATTTTATACAATCCCTAAAATCAAGGGATTGCCACTTCCACCATCCACACCGTACCGAAGGTATTCTTCTCTGCCGTTGTGGACTTCATCCCTGACCCTGGACAAGAGACTCTAAGCAGGTACTAGTTTCCCGGGTCAGGAAACACCTGAAATCTGCGGATGGCACGGATTGATTCATTTTCCCTGATAGGACTGTCCAAAGGAGTTCCTACCCACTACTCACAATCTCCCATCATGTCTGGCTTTTATAGATTATGAAAAAGCTTTTGATAGCTTAGAACTGTGGGTAATGGAAGAGGCATTAGTCAACAAATGGATCAACTACAGGTACAGAATAATAATACATAATATTATCGAACAAGCTGAAATGATTGACGTTGAGTAATGGAATCGAAACAAGACCAGTAAAACTCAACCGAGGCCTAAGACAAGGAGATACAATATTTCCAAAATTATTTACAGCTGCTCCAGAAGATATCTTTAAGTCAATGGGCTGGGAAAATAAGAGAATCCCTATTAACGGAAGATACTTAAACCATCTTAGATACGCAGATGATGTAGTACTCGTACTAATACCCGACACGTGGAATGCATTAGAGGTGTGCTTACTAGTTCAAGAGAACTATTTCACAAAAATGAACTAGTTCGCGAAAGAACTATTTGTAGGACCGAAATCCAACTCCAACATAACTGGTTGCCTGATGTCACGTCTTAACATCACACAAGCTCGGCGCTAGTCGCCCGTTTTCTTCGGTTTTCAGTCGGTCTTTCACTACCGTACTGTGTACAAGTAGTTCGGATTCGGAACCATTTCTTTCGATCGTATGTTTAGGTTTAAATGTTTTCTTAATCAATCCCAAAAGATAAATAACAGACGAAATACAAGTTTTTTATGGAATCGTTTCGAGAAAAACGATAATCAAAAATCTACAAAATGTAATTACTGTTCATGTGATATTAGTATTGCAAGTGGTTTACTGGGCAATTTATCAAGACATTTAAGAATGAAACACTGCTATCAATCTCAAATATCTCAATGTTGAAAGATACATAGAAAAAGTTACAATAAATCAGTAAATACATTTCAAGAACCTGAAATCCAGGTTTCTAGGTATTGTATTTATCAATCCATTCCATTCATAAAATAATAAATATATCTCATTCATTCATTATTTTTTTCTTTAGAAGTTGAGACACAATTTATAATACAAATCGTTCGCAGTGAACTAGTTCTATGAAAATTAATGAACTAGTTCAGTTAAAAGAATCGTTTATTTGAACTATTTCGATGGTGAACTACACATCCCTAGAATGCACTGAATACGATGATTGAGGAGCTACACACAGGATCCCTAAAGAAGGACTGAAAATGAATTTCAGCCAAACTAATAATGTCAAATAAAGATGACAAACCTATGGTAAACATCCAAGGAACAGAGGTAGAACACGTAGATGATTATACATATCTGGGACAAAATGTCAAGGTAAGGAAAGAAAATCAGACTACCGAAATAAGCAGACTTGTAAAAATGGGAGGGACAGCATTCGGAAGACTCTTATATGTACTTTTAAATAAAAATATATCTCAATGACTGCGATTCAAAGTGTTTCATTCCTATATCCTACCTATACTTACATATGGAGCTCAAACCTGGACATTCACTAAAATAAACACGGAGAAGATCAGAAAAACGCAGCTAAACTGAAATGGAAATGGGCTGGACATAATGAACGTCTTAAGAATGGCCGATGGAATAAAAAAATCGGCAATTGACGGCCATATGAAGCCAAAAGACCACGAGGAAGACCGCAAATGCTCTGGAGCGACGATATTAAAAGAACTGCAGGACCAATGTGGAAACGTCTCACAAACAACAGAGATGAATAGCGAGAATTAGGAGAGCCTATATTCGGCAATCCGAATAGGAAGAAGGGCATAAAAAAAATTGTTATTTTTCTGACTTTTTGTAAAGTTGTCCATAAAGTTGTACAATTTTCAGTGACAGCATATTTCTATTCTAAAGGGTCGCTATTTAAATGTACTTGCTAGTATCTTTGTTATAGCCCATTAAAAAATTTCCCACTAATTTTTTGGGACATTATATATAAAAAGTATTTATAGTTAATAAAAATTAATCATACCAGTAATGAGCTTATGACTTCCTGATCTCTAGTGGCTTGTTCTTTCAACATGGTTGATTTCGATTTTAGTAGGGTAACATCCATGTCTGCAACTTTATATCTGGCTTTTAATGCATCGTGTTTTTTCTTTAGTTCCTCATTTTTACTTTTTAACTGTTCAATTTCCTTTGTCAACGTACTCAATTGGGCGTCGTTTTTAGATGCAAAAGAGACCAACTCTGTTGGATTAGAACCTACATAAAGAAGACATTTTTTTATTATTAAAAAGACAAAAAAACATATTAAAAATAGAGAATTTGATAGATCTCAAATATGTAAACATGCATGGGATAATGAACATAGGTTC